ACCATGTGAGGCTGAGACGGCCAGCTCTTTATACACTTTCTTTGCTCCATTCCCGGAGTTAGGCTCTCATGGGAAAGCATGACCTTGGACAAGGTGAGTCTCAATTGAGTAGACCCTGAAGAAGTTTATACCTGGAAGCTGTCTGCTGAGTACATTCCCCAAAGTTAAGAGCAAATCTGTCCTTGAAGGAGGGATCTGAGTGGTGCATTTCTGTGTTTACTGAGACTCCAAGAATCTAGGAAATCTATAAGATTCTATAGCTAGTAAGCAACAAAGATATGATATGAAGTCTTCTATGACTCAGAAGTCGATGCAACTAATCAATTCATAATTAGTTTCTAAATATCCATTTAGACCAATTGAATCAGAATCACTTTAGGAGATATCTTTAAAATAGGGATATTCAGCCTCAATCCTGTAAGATTCATATTCAGTGAATGTGGATGAGATACAGGAATCATATCAGTTTATGAAAGTGTCTGGGCTTATTCTGAAATACAGAAACCATTGACACCAAACAATGGGAAATGTTTTAAATGCTGGATTCCATTTATGGAAAAAGCTATGCAATGTTTTGGGGGTATTAAAAATTCAGAACTAAGATTCATCCTTATGTGTTGATGTCTAATGTCAGTGGCAAGACCTCTCCCAGACTCAGCTTCTTGTTTTGTGATTGCTGTTTCTCTGATCACCCTGGGGTAAAAATGCTAGAGAAAGTGCAGCTGTTACTATTCATGAAAGCAAGTTAATCTGTAAGTGAATTGAAGAATTGGCCCTCTAATTAGCTCCTAAAGTGTCTGTGAAATGAATTTGAAGATGCCAAATTATACTTTGCCTTTTGTTTTTCACCACAAAATTAGAGATAAGTTCATGTTTTAAATTGTTTATAATATATAATGCAATCACTTTTTAAAATTTTATTGATTATGCCATTACAGTTGTTCTATTGTCCCCTTCATTCCCCTCCACCCTGCACCCCCCACCCCTACCATTCCTCCCTTTAGTTTATGACCATGTGTCTCAAGTTCTTTGGATTCTATATTTCCCCTACTATTCTTGCCCTCCCCCTATCTATTTTCTACCTACTGTCTATGCTACTTATTTTCTGTACCTTCTCCTCCTTCTTCTCCCATTCCCCTGTTGCTAACCCTCCATGAGATTTTCATTTCTATGGTTCTGCTCCTGATCTAACTGTCCTCTTAGTTTGCTTTTGTTTTAGATGTGGTTGTTAATAGCTGTGAGTTTGCTGTCCTTTCACTGTTCATCTTTTTAATCTTCTTTTTCTTAGATAAGTCCCTGTAACATTTCATATAATAATTGGTGATGATGAACTCCTTGAATTTCGTCTTATCTGAGAAGCACTTTATCTGTCCTTCCATTCTAAATGAAAGTTTTGCTGGATAGAGCAATCTTGGATGTAGGTCCTTGCCTTTCATGACTTGGAATACTTCTTTCCAGCCCCTTTTTGCCTGTAAGGTCTCTTTTGGGAAATCAGCTGACAGTCTGCTGGGAACTCCTTTGTAGGTGACTGTCCCCATATCTCTTGCTGCTTCTAGAATTCTCTCATTCATTTTAATCTTGGCTAATATAATGATGATGTGCCTTGGTGTGTTCCTTCTTGGGTCCAACTTCTTTGGGACTCTCTGAGCTTCCTGGAGTTCCATTTCCTTTGCCAGATTGGGGAAGTTCTCCTTTATTATTTGATCAAATAACTTTTCCATTGTTGCTCTTCTTCCCCTTCTGGTACCCCTATAATTTGGATGTTGGAGCATTTAAAGATGTCCTGGAGGTCCCTAAGTCTCTCCTCATTTTTTTGAATTCTTGTTTCTTCATTCTTTTCTGGTTGGTCATTTTCTTCCTCCTTCTGGTCCACTCCTTTGATTTGAGTCCCAGTTTCCTTTCCATTACTATTGGTTTCCTGTGCATTTCCCTTCATTTCAATTAGTTTAGCCTTCATTATATGAAGGCTAATTTGTGACTAAAATCAATCAGTTCTGTGAGCATCCTGATCACCAGTGTTTTGAACTGTGCATCTGAAAGTTTTGCTATTTCTTCGTCACTTAGATTAATGGGCTCTGGGGCTTTGAGATCTTCTTGAACTATTTTTGGTCTGTTCACGCCCATTAAGTATGAGGAGCGAAGCCTTAGGGGTGGGGCCTCCAGTGCGGGGTCTCTGGTTTGTGATGTTGTATGTGGGGGCAGGGTCAGAGTGGGGAAATGGTGTCCCCTTCTCCTGCTTCCCTGGGCTGGATGAGGGGCGAAGCCTTAAGTGTTCACCAGGGTAGGGTCACTCAGGTCGCTGGGTTGTGACGCTGATGTGGGGGTGGGGTCAGGGCTGGGAAATGGCGGCCCTCTCTGCTGCCTCCCATCGCTGGGGGTCCCATATCACTGCCTACTCCCTCGTCGGTCTATCTGCACAGGAATGCGCCAGCACAGTCCACCCACTGCCCTTCACCCTCACCGGATCCACCGGTCACTCACTGGGTCGCTCACTGGGTCTGCCCTTTGCAACCCCACGCCTGGGATCTGCGTGCCTGAGTCTGTCTGATCAAGTTTTCCTGTGCAACCCCACTCCGCCAGCTGCTGGTTTCGCCCCTCTTACCAGTCAGGCTGAAGAATTCGTTGTTATCAGACTTCCGAAAAGTTCAATTTTCTGTGTTCTGACTGTGCTTTCTGTTGCTAATATTTTATTGTCTCTAAACTCGGTTGTGTGAGAAAGCACGGTATCTCCACCTATGCCTCCATCTTGGCGGAAGTCCTGGGGCAGGTGGTTGTCTCTTCCTGGAACACAGTGGCCTGGATGCCTCCACTTGCTCCCCAGACGGTAATCTCTAGCAGTACCCCAGGAAGTCAACTATATCTCTCAGGAGCGGTGGGCCTTTTCTACAGTTCCTGAAACAATAGCTTCAACATATGCATTACCTCCTAGACTTATTAACTATTTACCTTAAACTAAAATTTTCCAATTCTTGAGTCCTCTATCATTTCCTCTGTGTTTTTTAAACTCCCTGATATTCAAATGACAACATCTTCATAAGGCCCTGCCCTCCTCCGCTGTTCCACACACTGCTCTGAAGCACCTTGACTCCTCCTATGTGGACACCGCCTGGGGTATGCGCACCCCCTCCTGGGAGCAAAAGCATAGCCGGAGCAGGGGCCCAGACCACAGCTAGGGTGGCATTTCTTTAGCTAGGTGACTAATACGCATTTCTAACTTGAAGGCCTGGGACACTCCGGGCAAGATTCTGTGATCACTTTTAAGGATGTAGTAAATTCTTTAAATTTGCACTTTTAAATAAATATATACTTTTCTGATTAAATAGTACATGATTATAATGTGAAAAGATTTAAAATAGAAGCTCTATTACTAGACAAGATTAAATATAGAGCAAAATTGACTTGTTCCTGAGCTAACAAACTTCTGAGACAGACTTCTTTCAGTTCTTCTTTACTAAAATGAAGACGAGAAGTTAGAACCTTAAGGAGGGTCTGTGTACAGTGGGGCTTTCAGGCCCCCAGCTATGAAAAGATAAAAGGCCAGTCATGCTGATAAATTTAACAAAACAGATATCTTTTTTAAAAATGTATTAGTTGTTGCATAAAGTTTTTTTCCATATTTTACCTAATTAGCATAGATTTTTTATATGAGAAAATCTTTGAAATAGTGAATCATAAAGGTTGTGTGCTGAGATAAACAAAGTTGATACGACTTCTCTCTGGTTAGTGACCAGAAAAAAATCAGTATCCTGATTTTTCTAGATACTTTTTTTATCTCAGTATCCTGAGATTTTTGGCTTATGGCTTGTGGCTCTTGACCTCTGAGACCATTTAAAAGGGACCATGAGCCTTGCCTCAGTTGCCATAGGCAGTTTGCACTTCACCTTGAGCACAGGAGAGTTGTATAAATACTTCATGAATATTTTGCAGAATGTTAACCGGGTCATGGAAGTTCTGAGAAGCTGTGTATGGTTGCTTTACATTATACTGTGGTGGTCAAAATGCATGAATATTCAAGTTTGAACACCAAAGGTTTAAATGAGAAAATTACAGTACTGGTTGATTGAGCTCTTTAAAATCAAGAACAGTGACTCATTCATATTTGTGCCTCCAACTTGTGCACAATGTCTGACTGAACCAGCAAGTATATGAAAACTGTTTTTGAACTTCATGACCTTAAAACCATTGAAGTTTGGCCTTGAAAGAAAATCACCAGCCTGTGAGAAAAACCAGACTAACAAAACCAGTGTCTGTCAATGACCACAGATGTCAGATATCTAGATTTCTCACTTGGAATCTCAAGTGGGTGAATTTAAATAGCTGATATGATTAGAAACTAATTATTAGAAGTGGCCTTGGAGAAAACGGTTCCACCTCGCCCCTGCACTGTCTGATCTTGAACTTTTCCATTTCTTCCTTTATTGTTTCTTTTCTATCCAGGCATAACCACATGAAGAATGTTGAAAATGGAAGTTTCCTTTCATTGATATTCAAGATGCCATTTAGCTCAGAACTTTATTATTTAGAGAGAACATGTAGCTAATACTCACAATGATCTTGTTCCATAGATATTTATCTGCAGATTAAAGACATTTGCCTTTCCCTCACCTGTTGAGGAAGTGCTTCCTGCCACTCATTTTCTCCATAACCTCAAGTAAATCTTCACTGGTTTAATGACAATAAGCATTCTGATTTTACCATGACATGATGTTTGGAAGAAAAATCTAAAATCTTTCACATAAAAGAAGTTTCATAATTATAAGATACATAAAGGGGGAAAATGTATACTTAACCATAGGTACTTTTTATCATGAGTTTCCTGACCTTGATTTGATTACATTCTCAGGCTAAAGATTGTAGCAATATAGATTTCTTTACAGTTTAATGGTTCATTTCATTGCCCTTTGAATGAGAAAAACCTCAACATGGGGCTCAAAGGGTGGTAAGCGGAAGGAGAAGTTAAGGACTGAGCTACTCTGCAGATCAGAGCATTTGAAAGTGAGCACTCAGTGTGACAAGAAGCAAAACCACAGGATACCACGTACTCTTGCAGTTCGCTTTGTTTCTCAAACTATTCAGAATCTTCCTATTGTGTGCTCCTACATCCTCTCTCTTTATTTCACAGATGTCGCTGGGGTGGTTAACCTGATCCAACCCTGAAGAACTTGGGGGAGGAAGGGAAGCCTTCTGTCTGAGAAGTGTTCCCATCCTGACATGCACAAGAAATGAAGACATCGCCTGCCATGCTTGGAACTGGGAAGTCGTTTTGGGTCCTCTTCTTAATCCCGCATCTGGGCATCTGGAGTATTGACGGTAAAACAACTACTTAGATTGGGTTTTGTTTTATTTTCCAGGAGGTGTTGGAGGTAATGTTGTTCCTTTCTGATCTTGTAGGATGTGGCATTTATGTGAAGGACAATGGTAGACAAAACCAAGTGGTTAGATTTGCTCACTGGAGACATTGTAGGACATTAACCAAATTAGAAAATGGTATTTGTTGCTTTAGCTGACTCTCTTAACACATGTTCTGACAGTAGAAAAAAGGAACTGGGCAGATGTTATAAGTAGTCAGGTACAAATTTATCACCACAGCTAGCCAGACTGCTCTGGATGACACGCTGATGGTGAGCAGTGTGTTCTTTGCACGCTGAAGCTTGGCAGAGTGAATGTTATTTTGTTCACTGGGGTAGGATAGGTATTGAATACCTGACTTTGTGGTTACTCTTGAATAATGTTGTTAATTAAAATCACACGTTAATTAAAATCAGTGGGGTGTGTGCCTGGAGAATACTGATTGAGACAGTGCTGGGAAATACAGGATTGGAGATTTTTGTCATTGTGTCTCTGAAAATGGTTCTGACTTGGGTTTCACTTCACATAGAAAACAGGTTGGGTTCTGCATAGATGATGTTTGGCCACTTCTGCAAAGATTTTATGTCAGCAAACAACCAGTTTCTTCCACCTGGTGAGTTCACTTGCTCCCTTCCATCGACATAGGAGCCTGCATATTGTGGAGGGGGGAGGGCTGTAAATAGCTAGTAGATGTTTTGGATTTTCTCAGGTCTGGTTTCCAATGTCTTACTTCACGGTCCCCACAAGTGCACACACTCTCGCCGGTTTGTGTGCTGTGGTTTTACATTGGAAAATGTGGCCCCTGAAACCCGAGAGAATGTCATCTTCCGTTCTGGAGCTGCGTGCTTTGACACCTCCACAGTGCCAGGATAGCACATCACCAGGGGCAAAATACGTCTTCCCTTCAGTCATCTAAGCATTTCGTGTTTGTATGTTTTTATGTGTGTGTATCTTTTGTACCGTTGATGAGGGGTTTAGATGATTGATTGGATTTTTCACTTTCCATGGGATGCCTACACTCACAGAGCAGAAACTGGAGTCAAATTTTATTGAGCAGAATTTATACCAACTTGAAGGATGTATAAACTATTCCCTGTAAAATGAAATAAGCGCATTTTTTCAGTGCTGTATCACACGGAGATTGGGGTGTGGCTTCTGCTCCCCCTCCCAACGTGCTTACGAAAAAGAGCTGGGGTGTTAGAATCGGGTTGATTTGCTGGTTCTGCCACTTACTGTGTGACTTTGGTTAACTTTCTTATCCTCGTTTACCTTAGTTGCCTTCTTTGCAAACTAGAGACACTTGTGCCTAAATTATGGGCCTATTGTGGACACTGTAAATGCAGTAATATGGATAAAGTACCTGGCACAATGAATGTGCACAATAAAATGTTAATGGTATTTTTGCTAATATTCTTTTCACTAAGCAACTCCCTCCAATTCTATAAAATGGAAGTAGTTTTTAACATTATTATTTAAAATAGTTGAGTGTTTAAAGCAAAAAATAAAATGAATAAGTGAAAGATATTATACAATGTATTTAGCCCCAAACATAGTGAATTAAATTACTTGGAAAATGAAATGGAAAGCCTTGGGCCAAGTCCTAGCCAGCTACATTATATAGATGACGAATCACAGCATTACTTGCATTAGATTTAAGGTATGGGTGACATAGGAATGTTTGCTGAGATTTGTTCTCCGGACAGAGCTGATGACTACTTCTTAAAAAGCATATTACTTTTAACCTTTATGTCTTGGGGAGTTCCTGTAATTCAGTTTATTTTTAATTACTGAATTCTTTATACTCGCACAGTTTCAAAGTTTTTAAAAGTAATCTTTAAATGTTTTGCCCTTCACTTCGAAGCAATGTGAGATCTGTGTGCCTCTTCCCAGGAATCAGGCTACACTGAGAATAAGGTGGGAAACAATGTAATGTTCTCCACAGATTTCCTTCTTTATAATGAAATTATGCTTACTTGCTTTTTGTGTTTCTCAACAAAAAATTCAGGGAGTGGAGGGCACTCTGCCCCTCAGGATCTGGCATAGAAATTCTGTCCGGAGGAAAGTGTGTAACAGTCAAAGTGTCAGCACCTTCCCTTCCTGGACAGGTGGGCAGACCGTGCTGGCAAGAACCAGGCTGTGGCTGGAGAAGCTCCTGTCAGTCACCTGCCGCGTGGTCGGTGAGCAGCTCCAGCTGTGAAGCCCTGGGCCACTTGTTCAGTCCAGGGTCATCCTGAGATCTCACCTTCAAGCAGGAAGGAGCACTGCAGTTAAGGTCTGACAACCACTGGGCACTCTATATGATCCTAAATTAAGGCTGTAGAAAATCTTTTATTAATCACTGCTTATTGTGAGAAAAAAAGTCCGAATCTGGTCTAGTACCAGCGGACACTCACTCATAGTTTGGCTTCTTTGAGAACACAGTGGCCGTGGCCAAGTCTCCACCTGAGCCTTTCGCGTGTCCTTTTTAGCCTCTACTGTGGTAGTTCAGTACAGACCATGGAACCCACTCACACCTCACGCACACTGCGTTGCTTTACTGTCAACCACCCATGTGGTGCGGTCGGGCCAGAGCACAAACATTAGCCCGGAAGGTGCTGTGCATCTGTTTCTCATTCTTTGAAGTTTCAGGGTCATTATCAGGCTTATTTCTTCGGCAATAGCTATTTGTTCCTGTTGAAACGGGCACAGGAGATGGAGCTGTGCCTTCTGCCAAATGCCTGGGTAGTATTGCTCTGATAGTGCCTGTCACAAAATACAACTGCCTTTGATGTGAACGTCTAGGAATACATTCTGCACTACAGGATTTCCTGGATTGTGGTGTGAAAAGGCTAATCTCCGTGCTGAAAACAGCCTCGCAGAGACTTTCCAATCACTGAAAAGCTTTTTAATTAACTGTTGCTTCCTCTGTCCCACCATCAGAATTTCCTCTATTGTAATTTTGAAGTCAAATGTAATTTCGAACTCAAATGCTATCTCACTTCACTGGAACTCTTCTAATTGGTTTCTAGTATTTGTGAGTTTCACCTTTGCCTAGAGTTCAGAATTGTTGAAAGAAAACATTCACAGGCATTTGTGATCAGGTTCAGAAAGGAAATCAACCTTTTGCTTTGTTCTGTGGAGAGGCAGTGGCGGGACTCCAGAGCTAGAGCCCCTGAGTTACTACCCGGTCTCTGCCATGTACTGGTTCTGTGGCTCTCTGGTACCCTCTCCTCGTGTAAACAGTGGGGACAATAATGATACTGGCCTTATCAGGTTGTTGTGAGTATTAAATGACTTAATTCTTTGAAACACTTAGAACAGTGCCTGGTGGATCGTAAATACTAGGCAAGATTAGTTAATAATGTTTTTCTTTTTTTTCCTTTTAGTCCAAAATTGAATTATCTTGAGAGTTCGCTCAAGTAGTAGTATTAGAAAACCATCTCTTATTTGGGTTAACAAAAGTCATCTGTAAATAACTCTTGATGTCATTAGCTACTATCATCTCCAGTCACCAAAAAATAATAATAGAGTTTGGGAGTCATGAGACCTGAGTTATCCTGTGTTATTGAATTGTATCACAGCAATTGGCTTCGCATTTCTAACATTCTCCATTCTCTTACCTCAAAATAAGATTGGTATTATATACCTTTCTGGCATCCTCTCATGGACTCTGATTTCTGGGCTTATCCTGTAGAAGAAATTAGTTATGGGCATGTGCCTATGTGTACACAAGCAGGGGTATCATTTTAATATGCTCAGAATATAAACATGTGCATTTCGAGGTTCACTGTGAACGCAGTCCAGGAGAGTGTTGAACGGGCCGGCTAGGCCAGGCGCAGGCGACTTCAAGCTTAGCTGGTAGGGCTCTCTGACTCCTCTCCTCCTTCCTGACAGCCACGTTTATCTCGTGAGCACAACCTGGAACTTGAATACATTTCAAAGAGTCCGTGGTCCAGAAGTGACTGTAAGAAAGGCTGGGGCATTTAGGTTCTAGCTGGGTGGCCACGGTCCCATTTCATTTTCTTCTATGGTATTAGAGGAGGAGAATTAACATTGGGGAGGGCGGATTGGCAGTTTCTGCCCGCATTGATATTGTTAAGTATCTTCCAGGGCTTTGAGAATGCCAGCGAATCTCAGTGTGATCTCTGTAGTGGAATGTAAGTATTGGGAAGGCCAGGAACTATCTGGGAAAGAAGTGAAATTGAACTTACGCCACGTCTTTCCACTAACACGCAATCACACTTACTCTGAGCATCACAACTGGCCTTGTTATCACAAAGCAGTATTTAGCAATAGCTTGGCTTCTGAAGTCTGTCTTGGATGCTGTTGTCTACAGCGTCTATGACGCCTTAGCTTTTTCTGCTCTGCGTTTCTTCCTTATGTCGCTGTGGCCAAGGTGCAGGGCCAATGGTCCCAGAAAGGCAGGCCTGTTTCAAGTAGTCAATGTCTTCCCCAGCCAGAACTATTCTCTAAATTCTCAACATGAATCGTTGTTTTTCAGAGCTCATTAAATTGGCTGAAAATGTTTGCTATGCTAGGGAGATAATTACACATCAGCTAACAAACTATCCACTAGATACTCATCCTTGTCACACAGGGTGGGGCAGGACTCTGCATTTCCGTCATGCAGAGACAAAGACAGTGACCGGTAGGGTACAAGCAGAAGGGGACATTTGTCACTTGGTAGAGATGTATGAGGAAAAATACCCGAAGACAATTTTTTAAATCCTCACCTAAGGACATGTTTTCACTGATTAGAGAGAGAAAGAGAGAGAGAGAGAGACATTGATTTGTTGTCTCCCACACGCGCCCCAACTGGGGATCAAACCTAGAACCTAGGAATGTGCCCTGACCGAGAATTGAACTGGCAACTTTCCGGTGCGTGGAACGATGCTCTGAACAACTGAGCAGCACGGCCAAGGCGACAAAGATGTTTTTACTCAACAAACACTGGCTTTGCTCGTTAGTATATTTCTGTACAA